CTTTCGCATGATAGGGTAGGCTTCGTCAGGGTGGCATTCCGAAATTCCTATCCGTCAAACTCAAAGTCCCTAGAAGGTTTACCAAGGAGAGCTTGGGCACTTGGCCCTTAGATTATGGTTGCGGTTTCGAAGTAAGGGTGCACAAAAAGAGAGAGCGCGAAAGCCAGAGAGAGGCGGGCGAGAGAAAGGTGAGTCGGGCTCTTTCCCCGTTGAAGCAAGGAAGGAAGGAAAAGAGGTGAGAAGCACAAGCAGCGACCATCACCATATCCATGAATATTTCGATGTGCACAAGTGTGGTTCACAGGTATGTACCATTAGTTCCGACTGCTGATACAACCATGAGTAGCTCTTTTGAGGAGTTTGCCTTCTCACGGCGGGAGTTCTTTGGCCACGGTGTTGCGGTGTTGAAGGTGGTTTGTCTACGCTGCGCACTGACTACTCGCTGTTTTGCCTATCTTCGACAGCCTGTTCGTGCTGAAACTGCTAAGATTCCCGTTGCGAGGGCCCTGTCAGGGTCATCCTTGTAGAGTAAGTCGTGAACCCTGGAGCTTATTGGCATCCTTCTCACCTACTCTGCCTCTGCAAGGCCCTGCCCGTGTGGCTCAGGCTTGGCCGACAACTTTCACTTCTGAGTTGCAGCTCTCTGTAGTGACATTTACAGGTTACCTGTGGGGCTGCAGCCTTTTGTATCAAAAGTGGGTCATGGCGGGTGACGACAAGCTGTTTGGACTAAGAGAAAGGCAGGTACTCGTTGAAGAATACGCATCACGATGAAAACGGTGGCGATGACGATGATGATGCATAAAGATGTGCAGACGCTCTCCTTGGGCATTTCGGCCGTTGGCATCTGCTGAGAATAAATTCAGCGATACATGGTACGGATCGATGAATTTTTCGGCAACGATATGACTTAGGCCAGTTGAAAGCAGTGCCAGAGAGAGTACATTTGATTGTGTAAAATGATTTAGGATTTTTTTCTACAAATTGCTGCCAAGTACGCGAGAAGATGAGTTTCAACGGTGTGTATGACTGCCTGCAGCAATCTGATATGAAGCATGGCATTCAAATGCTGCCAAGCTGTCCACACTCCTTGCGCGCCCTATCGCCGCGCCATGCACCCTGCTACTTTCGACGGCACATACTGAGACAATATCTTCACCCAAGTTCCCAAGCATTTCCCAACTTAGACTTTATCTTGGTGGTAGCTCAACCGAAGGTCAACCCCATAAGTCCCGTAAAGCCCTGTCGACAGGCAAAAAAGCTAAGCGCTGTTGCTTCGACAACCGCCCGCCCCGAGAACCAGGCCCATGTGGAAGAAGCTGTGGGCTTGGGGCTCTTAAGGGTTTAGGGATTAGGGTTGAAGGTTTAGAGATTAGGGTTTAGGATCTAGGGTTTAGGGATTAGGGTTGAAGGTTTAGAGATTAGGGTTTAGGGTTTAAGGTTTAGGGATTGGGGTATAGGGATTAGGGTTTAGGGTTTAAGGTTTAGGGATTAGGGTTTAGGGTTTAAGGTTTAGGGATTAGGGTTTAGGGTTTAAGGTTTAGGGTTTAGGATCTAGGGTTTAAGGCTCAAGGTTTAGGGATTAGGGTTTACGGTTTAGAGAACCCTGCACCCTAAGCCCTCGAAGAAGCTATGGGCTTAGGGCTGTTAGGGCTTTAAGCGCAGGGTGTAGTTTATCGCTTCTTTTCAGGGTTGATTGCTAGTTGGGAGGTTTGGGAGAAAGCAGTGGATCGGCGCTGAGGGTTCAGGAATGTTGGAAGTCCGCATCCCTCAGCCGTAAACCAGAACTCTTCAGCCCCTTGCAATCCATCAAAACACCCAAACTCCAACCCCGAAAAAATATGTACTGCCCGATGGACATCGCAGAATAACAAGCACACAGGCGGAGCCTCGCAAAGTACAGCCGTCAAAGACCTCTTCGTCACAGGCCCCACATGCGCTGTGGGACTTCAGGGTTCAAGACTCGGGGTTTAGGGTTTAAGCTTGGTTTGAGATACGGAGTTGAGTGTTGAGTGGTGATACAGTTTGAGTGGAGAGACTATGTTCTTGGGTTGTTGTGCTGTAGGATTCCCGGTTTTGCATTACGAGTTTCGGATGGGTGTGTCGATGACCTCGCCCGGTTGTTATACGGATGCTTATGCATAGCGTAGCTGCCTCTATCGTCAGCGGATATTGGTGAAACACACACCGGACCTGCTTAATGCACGGCTGTATTGGTTTAAACGCCCTGTCCATGGGTTGATCATCGTTGCAAGCGTTGCCCAAGATCAATTTCAGAACTCTGCTATGCTTCAGGTCCCGTATCGCTGACCCCAAGACAGTTCTCCAGAGCCCTGCAAGTCGTAACAATGGTTGGTCTTCGGGCTGATTTTGTTTTCTTAATCCGCCAATATCCCGCTAAAATAACCCTCAACCTTGGCTTCCTGCCTTCGAGGCTTTCAGCAACCGAGCCGTCTGCGTTAAACGCGGAAGCAACGCACATCTCAAGACACAAAGCACTTGATGGGCCAACGCGTGTGAACGAGCCCTGTGTTAATCTTACTTCATTTTGGCACTGGCATGAGGAGACGTAGCATTGGGTGGGTATGACAGGATTGAGAAGCTGGCGGTTTGGTTCAATCCATCGTGCGGAAGCCTTAGCCTTAGACCCTTTAAAGCCTGTGCTGGCAAGAATGGCCCGATGTAAAGAACCAACTGCCATCAGCAAGCCTTTTGCTTGAAGCCACACATCTTATCCGCCTCTTCGCGATTAAGTCGCTCGCCCTGCCGTGTCAGTTCCTGAAGGTGAGGACCCGCTGCTGGAGAAGTGGCGCGGGGCTCCTACCATGTCTTGAATGTAGGGTGAGCCTTCGGACGTGTAGTTTATGGTGCCCACGGTTCAGTGGAGCTCTTTGACTCTTGCAGTCCCTGTCCCTGCAGCCCAAAAAATCCAACAACACCCAAAAACCCTAAACCACAAAAACCCTAACCCCCCCCCCCTCAAAAAAACGAATAGATCAACGAATCCCAAAACCCCGACGACCCCCCTGGCAGCCCGAGGATCGGAGATGGAGGTCGTGGCCTCTGGCACTGGAAAGTCTAAGACCAGATGAGAAAAAGGACTCATGCCACCGGAGGTCAGAGCTCTCTTGTGAATTTGTAGCAGCAACATATGTATATATATATATATATATATACATAGAGAGAGAGAGAGAAGAGAGTAATAATTTAGTGATGATTATACTGTTACTAATAAAAAAAGATGTTAACATTAGCAATAACAACTACTGATCATAAAGATAACAATAGAAGGTAGCAGGTAGAAGCTTGTTGCATTATTTGTACTGGACTACCAACATGGTTACCATTGTACGATACTTTTTCTGCAAACGATACATTGAATTCTGTTGGCGAAAGGGCCCTCGACTGCGTGTATCTTTTAGAATTTTAGAAGTCTGAGTCTGAGATGTGCATCTTACCGAACGGTGGGTCATAACAGCGCCTACCGTCACAATGTGTGTTCTCGTATGTGTCCCCCTACACTTGCCTCATTAAATTAAACCTGTAGGCCCTAATCCCGTGAGATCCCGGGAGGTGTGTGTTTCGTGGTTTAGGGTTCCGACTGCAGGCCCGCGTAACGGCCTTCACTTCTGCCCTTGCTGGCCAACCCTGAATCCGAAAGCCCTCAAACGCCACATGCAGCCGAATTCCCAATTCTCCTGTCCAACCATACTTCAATATGTAGGAGCTTCAAGAAATGACGATAACAAGGATTATATTAATCGCTTGGGCAAATCTGTGCTGGCAACCCCACAAGTTGTTGACACTGCTGAGCACTCTGTTCTCGACTCGGTCACCAACTTTTGCGTTTAGGGTGTTTGCGATGTTTTTTGCTGGGGGATCCGTTGTCGTATCTTGGTGTTTGTTTGTATGATTGGGGCTTCTGTCCGAAGTTCCGATGACCTACCACTGCAACCAAGCTTCTGGGTCCAGCAGCTTGAACAAGATCGCCAAAATCGAACAACTCAGACGACATGGACATCGTGGGTACACCAACAACGGCCTAGAACGCACCAAGAGCGCAAAAGGGCTGTAAATTTTAGAGTGTGTGAAACATGCCGGGAAATGCAGCTTGATAGACTTAGGACACTGATGTGTGGGGTTTGCATGCCCCTGACGGTGGCAGCTCAGTGTGCGACAGAAGCCTCCGCTGCTAAGATTATTGACTTGCCACTCCAGACATTGGCAACCGGTAGCCCTGACCGAATTTGCGACGTAACTCCGTCCTCTGTTCTGTTCCTTTACAACTTGCTGCTTTCTTGCTTTGGGATCCCCCAAACAGTAACTACTACCAACCTGGGGGTCTAGGTGCATGCTTGGAGCCATGTCTTCAGTGCGTCCCGTGTGCAGCGAAACTCGCAGTCCGGCGATGCGTTGCTAAGGCCATGGGTTTAGGGGTTTAGGGTTTAGGGTTCAGGATTTAGGGGTTTAGGGTGTGCGCTTCAGGATTTAGGGCTGCGGTTTCAAGTTTCGGGGGGATTCGACGGTTAGGGATCCCTAACCCTAAACCCCTGAACGTGGAATTTGCGGTTCTAGTATGGTCGTAAATTGGGTAAACTGTCGGGGAAGGCTCTCGGTCACCAACGGTATCCCGCCAGCAAAGGTGGGTGTACCCAACCGCATATACTTTGCCCTAAAGTTCCTATACTATATGGAGGCGAAGTATATACTGCATGAGTACATGGACCCCTCGGATACGTCGCAATCCCGATACTGTTCGGTTGTTTCGTTTCCACGACTTCTTCCGTGCAATACAATACGTCTGTCTCGCGCAATGTTGGATTGTGGCACCTGTGCACCTGCTTGAATATCTCCCGAGTTTCTGGATCCTAGCCCCCATGCCTCTTAAAGCCTATCAGTCTATCTCGTCCCATGCTGCAAACACTCAACAGACAAACATCTGCAAACCCTCGACCCCTGAGCCTGAACCCCTAATCTAAACAGACCAGCGAGGTTGAACTATGAACTTCTGGTGGCTGCTGGCGCTTTTGGCAAGAGAGGATCGCCAGCTCCGAGTGGGGATACGGCTTGGGCATTTAGCATATGAACCGCCCGTCTTGTTATGCGGCTGTGGAATCTGCAAGAGCTCAGGGCTGCCTGCTTCAGAGTTCTCGATCGTAGTTCCGTTTGGTTTAACCAGTCGTATATTTAAATATATATGTATATATATATATATATATCTATCTATCTATATACATATATATATAGGATCCTAAAGGCAACGCGCAACAAGGAAGGACTGCAATGAAGATGGTCATAGTCAGAGTGTACAGGGCCAGGGTTCAGGCTAAAACCCCAAACCCATCAAGGTGCATACCAGTCGGATACGCCTCCTTCTAAGGATTCCGAGCTTCGGGCCTTACACTAAGGTGGTTGCTGGTGTGGTTTTGGCTGTTGAGTTTAGGGTCTTGAGTTGTAGACGTTAGCATGTTGGGGCTGAGGGGTTCAGCTCAGGGTTGCATGGGTTGTATGCCCATGACACGCAGTGCACTCGCTGTAGCGGCAAACCAGCCTCGCACGTTGGGCCGCCACCGGTATATCCTGAATTGCTGCAGCTTGGTGCTTCTCCTGGACAACCCTTTGAAAACTATGGCCTTCTCTCACGATCACAAGAAGTGTTCCATATCTATTTCCAGCTGTCTTCATGATCATGAAATATAACTTTCGTAGTAACTCTGAACCCGACAAACAAAGTTTCCGGCGAGAATGTGATATTGCGGAACTCGTGGAGTGGAAGGTCCCTCTGCATGCCGAGCGTCAAGCACCACATGGCGCGGAGGTGGCAATCGCCTCGGCCAGAAGTATGATCCGATAAGTTCTGCAATAAGGGTTGTACCAAGAGTTCATTTTCAGTAGCTATGCAGGCAATGAGGGCGCGACTACAGGGCAGCATCGTCAATGAGCCCCACAGGTTTCCATTTTCAAGAATGACCGACTCCGGTGTAGACACCCAGATTCCGTCTGAAGCAGGTGGATTTTTATCTATCACAAGGTTCAGCTCTGGAGATGTTTTCAGCTTCGGGGTTTGCAGCAACTGTCTGAGAAGTTACCTGCCTCAGTTGGCTGCGTGGACACACGCACACACACACACACACACACCCACACAATTACATACTCGAGCGGTGAGCTTTGCAGCGCGTACGTATTGTGCTGAACTTGTCTGCACTGGACTCATGGAAGTATCGTGCATGCATGAAATGAAATGAAAAGATCTGTCATGCAGGTTTGACCGCTGTTTGTGGGTTCCCTTTCTTCCATCATTATGGATTTTACGACATGCTGTGTTCTGTTCCGGTGCTTCATTGCAGCATCAACTCCTTGGTCCAATCACGTCTACGTCCGTGTCAGTCGGCGAGCCCTAGAGGAGACGCTTTACGATAGGGGCTTGAATGAAAGAACGGTGTTCGTATGTATAAGAATGAAGTCAGAGCGATGTGGCGCGCATTGCATGGCGTCGCAAGTACCGTCCCTTTTTTAAGGTTCGCGCCTTTCCTGCAGGATGTTCCAATTCGGGGCTGCAAGGCGAATGACATGTTGGCGACATGAAAGGTTTGAACTTGGGATGTGGGCCAAGCCAGCTTTTGCTACGCACGTGTTCATAGCTTAAAGTGCCAAAAGAACTGTTGCGGTGCAGGCTTAGGTACGGCGGCCCAGAACCTTTGCGTAACAACCCAATCTCAATCCCAACCTCCCAAATCAACGGCATCAAAACCCAAGCCCAAGAATAAAGTTTGAAGCAACACCCCAGCTGGAAACCCGGAAACCCTGAAGCCCAAGTCTCAGACCACAAACCTGAACCCGAAATCCCCAGTCCTGACGCCGCAAACCCTAAGCCCTATGCTCGAAGTGCTGAAGCCTGGTCAAAGCCCCAAGCCCGGATGGTCCGCAAAAATATCATGTAGTATGACACAATCTTATAATACGGTATACTGGAACAGTTTATTGGAACAGTATAAATGTATGTAGTATGACACAGTATAATAATACAGTATAGTGGAGCAGCATATTATATAGAACATTTAAACGCCTGCCCAGATCAGCGCCTGCTTCTTCGCCTATGCGCTGAAGCTTGACATGCCTGGGTCCAGCTCTGCCCCCAGCTTTGACCCGGGCCGCTGAGGCAGCCAAGAAAGCCCTATATATGGGAGTTTCCGAAATTAAGGGACCCTAATATAGCACCCTAAATAGTGGGATCCTTGTTATAAGTACCCCCAAATAGGGTACCCGTACTTCTCGGAAACTCCTATATCATGTAAAGCCCCAGAAACCCTAGAAGCCCACGATCGGCGCATGCACCCTGTAAGCCCTAAAAATCGTGTAGTCCATAGAATCCGCGCCCGAAATTTAAAAAGGACACCGACCTGTGGAGAGCAGTTGAAACTACGGGGGCGAGGTTTCGGGATTGGCGGTGAGAGTTTGGGCGGCGCGAATTTAGGATGTGGGCATGATCTGTTTTTGGCTGGAATTGTCACGGTTATCTGTTTGTGTTTATCGCTCAAGGTAAGGTTGAGGCCAGGTACGGGGGATACCGACGATGGGCTAATATAGGGGCCTAAATAGTTACCAATACTTTTTTTGGGGGTCCTTATTCTATGTATAGTAGAATGGGGCCCCCAAAACCCTATTCTGATTATTAAGGCCCCTATATTAGAAGCGTCACCCGGCTACTGCCTGTTCTCTACTTTGCTTCGTGACGGCGTGCATGTCCCTGAACCCTAGGCCCTTGAGCCCAGGGTCCCTGTGCCAAGGCCACCACACGATACGAGCCTCCGACTTCCAGCAGAAGGCCCCCCGGTGTCCCGGAGTGCAGATATCAACGGGTAATGTGGGAACCTGATTAAGAGATATCCTGGGCCTATAACCCCCAAAATAGTAGGATCCAGATAAGGAAGGGCCCAAGGTTTCTTAATCAGGTTCCTACATCAAACCCCCCCAAAACCCTTGTAGTACTCTTATAGTGCCCCTTAAAGGAACCCTTTATAGAACCCTAATAAAGGCCCAAGGTTTCTTAATCAGGTTCTTACATTAAGATTCCGTTTTTCTTTCCGAAGGCCGAAGCCCTGAGTCCCCCCAGAGCAGCCTAGGGCCTAAAAATTACCTATACGAGTTCGGGGGTTCCTTATTATATAAGTATAGATGTACTTTATAGGGGGCTTATAAGCCTTAAACTAGCGACATATATTTTTTTTTGGGGGGGGGTCCTGATTATAGGTATAGGAATTTTATACCCCAAAGCCCTATTTTAATTATTAAGGCCCCTATGTTGCCTCTGCACATTTTGTTGCAGCTGTCAGCGCACATCTGTTGTCCTTGCCGCGTCCAGCACCGCGTGTGTAGCAGTAAGAATAGCGTAGCTGTTTCCACCAAGTGCAGGACAAGATGCAGTGTTAATGCGTTGGCTTCTTGCTCGTAACTAACGTGCTTCGCAGCTTTCACTCATGTGTTGAGTTGCACGCTATGGCTGTGGATGTTTGGTGAAACATTTTCCTTGAGATTGTTTTTCGCATCCTGAGTGCACTCGCAGCAACCAGCGCAGCCACGATTTCAGAAGCTGCATTAAGACCAGGCATGTGAGCAACAATGAAATCGGGCCGCCGCCACCAATAATGGAGCAGCGTTAAGGAGACGATTGACAACGACTCGCCGCCACCATTCCTGCCTGCCGCTAGCCGCAACTGCTGCCGTGCAGAATGTAATTACTAGTGCCACCACCAATAATAGCTGTTGGTATGCTGTTGGTAGGTAGTTGGTGGTGGTCCCAGACTGGACGTTATCCAACAGAAAGCTAGATCCCGAAACCATTTCCGGCACAGCCACAGGGGTAGTCACAGTCAGGCCACCCCAGGATAACAAAAGTCAAGGGTGGAAGTAAGTTCTCAGCGGAGATATCGAAAGCTCCAACGAGACATTTGTTGGCAATTGCTTCTTGGCCGATTGGCCGATACTTCATCATTCCCTGTAGCAAACGAAGTTTGCCATGTTCCAGGAATCTCAATACGCCATTTGTCGCGAATTCGCGTGCCCGACGAGCCAAGCAGCTTGAGTTTGTGTCGTGTGGCTAGGGGTGCAGGGTTGAAGCCGTGCCACCATGAATTTGACCGTTGCTATGGTGTGCAGCGCAGGTGATTGCCAGTGTTTCTCCTCACGATGATTGTTTGAATGTCAGCAGCTGCGGCAAATACTTGCCAGTGTTATAGACGCTTGTAGCGATGAATACTTCGACACATACGAAAAGTAGAAAGAGCGCACGTCAGTTACACCTGTATGCCCATCGTCCCTGCCACTACTTGCCCTTGTGCTTCTGTGCTTCTCGTTAATGCAAGCTACAAGTGCAGCAGCGAGAGGCTGTAAGCTTCTACGGCGGTGGGACTTCGCCAGCGCCACTACTGGAGGCTGCCGACAAGAAGAGTTCATGTTGAGAGGTTGTCGTGTGCGTCGTGAGGCTTTTGTGTATGTTAATTTCTGTATTCATGTGTATATGTATATGACATGTGATTGTGCGTGATTTCTAGGTCAGCAAGGCACCCCGTCTACCCATGTCCCTTGTTGTAGTATGCACTCACAGATACAGGTTTATGTAGAGACACATGACAAGATGCATTCATGGGACGGGATGAATAGAGGCATGCAGTACTAGAGTCTAGTTCGCCATTTAAAGGTTCATTGCAACTTTACATACAGTCCTAAATCGTTGGTGATGCTCTTCCGCTTCCTCATAGATATGTTTATCTATATGGTACAAGACCCCGCAGAACCCGGAAGATACAACATCACCGAAGCTATGCTGCGTAAACGAGGACTCGGTCGGCCGGCGTTGAAAGCCGAAGCGGTTTGCCCGTCCCCGCAAAAGCAAACCACATCACATCTGGCTCACGGCCAGTCGGTCTGGGAATTTGGGTGTTTAATCAGTCTTATGGTTCGAATATGTTCTAGTAAAGGCTACTATTGGAGTTCTAATAACGATTACTAATGCTATTGGGTGCCCAGGGTAGTTTAAACCTGTCCCTTATCGGAGGCCTACTGGCTTCTCGCGCTTCCGACGCACTTCCAGGACCGAAAGGGTGCTCTTCCATCTCGTAGTCCATTCGGAGTCCACGATCGTTACTATAGGGGCCTTAATAATTACCTATAGTATTCTGGGGGTTCCTTGCTCTAGTTATAGTATAATGGGCCCCCAAACCCTTTCTAATTATGTTACAATAGAGGTACAGGTAACCTTTCATGGGTCTGCTGCCAGCTGACGTTTCGAGGCAGGGTCCGATCCTCCGGCTCTAAGATTCGGTCCTTGTGTTTGCGACTGCGTTGTCAGAAGGCACAGTGAGACCTCTGCGATTATTTCTGACGGCGGTCCGGCCTTTGGCACATGCAGGCTTAAGGTGGCCTAAGATGCAGCGAGATATTCGCGCATCTTCTGCACAGATCTTGACCCTGAACTGTGAGCTTTAAGTCCAGGCCCTGCGCCCATCCCGCTGTAGATCAGGGCGCCTCCTTCACAAATAAATGCAAAATCCTGCAGAGTCTAGTGCCGGTACCTTATCCCTTAACAGAACCCGCTAGACCCCAGCCACGGCCGAAGAACCCTGTGAGTCCCAAGAGACCAATAGACCAATAGCCCCTATTTGCAGCAACCTGGAACAAGTTCCAACTTTCTGGCTTCTAAGATTCTACTGTATGAGTGAAAGTTCACACGAGCACATTGATCTATCTCTCTATGTTCATCTTACTTCTGTCCAGCTTACTATCCATCTAATGATCATGAACTACAACAGTAAGCAACCCCTGCTAGGGAAGCAGATTGCCTCGTTCAGTCTATATTGGTATGACCAACAAATGAAATTCTGTGGCAGCACGCGAAACAACCATGCATGCAGCAATACATGAGCATGGGCAGTAGATGAAGAGCTATAAAGCCCCAAGGGTCCATGTACCCAACAAGTATATACTTTGGGCCCAATGTACCCCTTCAAGGGAGTACTTTAAGGCCAAAGTAAAAACTATTTGGGTACATGGATCCTTAGGGAAGAGTTAAGGCAATGCAAGTGTGGCAGCTTTTCTTCCAATACAAATGCATTTGGTTACTCCTTAATCAATAGAATAGGGCTTTTGGGCCCATGATACTATAATCATAATAAGGAACCCCAAAATAGTAGTGGTGATTATTTAGGCCCTGGGGGGGCTTTGGGCCCATTATACTATAATCATAATAAGGAACCCCAAAACAGTATTGGTAATTATTTAGGCCCTAGGGGGCCGAGGCGTCCCCGGTAGGCCCTTCTCGTCTCGGCAGCTGAAACACTTTCAGGGGGTTCAGCTTGCACAATGGCACAATCACGGTGTTATATGTCTGTAGCCACAATCAGACTCACGCATGCGCATGCATACTATGAAGCAAAAAAGTCTTGTGTCCCAAAGCTCGCAGCCGGAACAACTTGGCGAAAGGAAGCCGTCCTCAAGGAATGCCCTCCCATGGTTGTGCCTCCGCCAAGCAGTCTTGGTTTAGGGTCCTTATAATAAGGATCCTGCTATTTAGCGTACTATAGAAAGGTCCCCTATTCGGAAACTCCCATTTGGCTTTGGTCCGCTATGCATTCGAGGTTGACAATGCGGTCAAGGGCTACAGGTAACAGTTGGAAGCCGCTGGGGTCTTGCAATAAGTACGTGCCACCCCGGAGGCACGTCCGAATCTTTGAAGAAGGCATGAAGCAGTGAGCTTGATTATGCCTTAGTTGTCAAGTGCAACCGCGGCTATATCGGACAGGCCGACACAACTCGTACGATCTGAAGCCCTAAAACCCTGGAAACCGTACAGCCGTGCCTCCTACCGCCTGCTCAGGTGCTCTCTTACTTTCTGGCTGCCGAGACGAAGTTTTACACCGAGCCAAGTCTTGCCCAAGAATTCCTGGCCACTGGCGCCGGGATTTTCCACAGGCCAGTCCGTGTGTTTGTCTGTCTGTCTGTCTGTCTGTCTGTCTGTCTGTCTGTCTGTGGGGGGGTTCCGACTTCGAGGCCTTTGAGCTTGCTCGCTCAGTTCCAGAAGTCCTTGGAACCTGAAAGCTAGAGTAAGGAGCCGAACTTATGAACATCAGTACATGTTTCAAGGATTCTCAAGCTTGACTTGAGCACACACACACACAGAAGCATAACTCTTCACATGTGGACTAGGACATAAGCACGTGCATGTACAGATGTTTAAAACAAGCAGACAGGTGCCCATCTAGATAGAGCCGTGAACCAATCGACATCTGAAGATAGCTTGTTTCGGAGGGGCTTGTCTTACATGTTCACGTCGTCCTTTATACCACAGACCTTTAACTCCGTAAACTGTATCACCTCAATCATCAAGATCCCAAAGGGTCCAAGTATCATTATGGTATAGACTTAGACCCCAACAAGGCCCCATGAGTATATACCATAATGATTCTCGGACCATTTGGGGATTAACAGATTCCGGGTTGACCCTAAACCCTAAACCCTAAACCCTAAACCTTAAACCCTAAACCCTAAAACCCTAAACCCTAAACCCTAAACCCTAAAACCCTAAACCCTAAACCCTGGCAGCCAGGCTAGAGGAGCGCGTGGCGGGGCTGATTCGTGAGCTCGGAGCTCTGCCTGCTGGTCCTTGGGTTCAGGCCTTTTGGGTTTGGGGTTTAGGGGCCTTTAAAGAGTGACCTCTACTATTTCGTGGGGGGTCCTTGTTATGATTATGGTATAATATACCTCTTGACTCTTAACCCTATTCTAATTATTAAGGCCCCTATATTAGTTTACTGCTTAGGGTTTAGAGTCTGTGTAGGGGCAACCCTAAGTCACTTAAGTCATGAAATGCTTAATAATTTCGGTTTAGCATCTTAGGGTTGGGACACTCAGATTGAGCATATGTTCGGCTCTGGCTTGTTGGTGTATTGGTACAGTATCGTTGCCAACTCTCCATTGCAGATGCTTCTGCTTTGAAGCTTCAGATCCTAAAGCTTCGTCGCTGATTTCCGGTAGCCCGAGTGTCGTACTTATCAACTTGCTTTCGTGCGCCGGTATTCAGAGCTAAGTAGGGCAAGAATGCCGACTGGCTTTTACTCTCCAAGCCCCAGGAATGACAAGAGTAAGACCACGTTCCGAATACTGGGCTGTCAGGCACCCACCCCCGTTCCGGATATCGGTGTGTTGAATTGGATGCTCGGTGCTGAATGTGAGCGCTTATAGAGGCATCAAGACTTAGAACACTGTAGGGTGTTGAAGTATATTGAACTAGACTTTAAATTCAGGTACCCTAAAGTGTGTGTGTGTGTAGTCGTCAGTTTGTGTCTCGAAGCGGTGCCTCTAAATCCTTCTCGCTCCATTGTGTAGAGTAGTGAATTGACTGCTTGGCAAAGCCACAGCCCAAAAACCTGACTCATATCACTGATGCCCTAGAGGGGATAGCAACTAGTGCCAAGACCAGGTCATGGCCAATCGATGCTGCATTTGACCGTATTCAACGGGTGCATGCTACTACGCAGAGGCAGGGGCCTTCCACGACAGATGTCTCTTCTTTGAGCACTGCATGGGAACCTTTTGCCACAAGCTCCTCAACTTCAGAAAAGCTCCGCATTTGACATGGATGGGTGTTTCATGCAGCGTTGCGGCTCCCGCCGTCAGCAGTCCCGCAGCTGAGACCTGCATGTTTTACATGTTTTACCTGCATGTTTTTACGTGCGTGCCCAAGCAGTTAGAGGGCAGTGATTCTCAACACCCAGTGCTTTGGGGCTTCAGGGCTTTACTCTTGCTCGCCGGGTTTGTGTTCCGGTGCCAGGCTACACAGCAGGCCGCCTGCGGACATTGAGCTGGATGTTGTCATGGCATTCTGTCGCGAGGAGACGTGGATGCAGTTCGCGCACAGGTTCTTGGGGTTCAAGCCTTTTAATCTAAGACAATCTAAGACCCATCTTTCCATCTTGAGACCATCTCAATCCCTTATATACGCCCAGAAGTCAATGTACAGTGTCCCCATAATCAGTGAAAACCTTGTACCCATAGCCTGAAACCTACATCTAAAGCTTGCAACCGTTTGGGTTCAATTTATGTACCCTCGGTCGCTGGGCCCTCGACGTCCTCGAAGCCCTTGAAGTAAGTATGATATGCAGCGCATGTTATAGAATATTGTTGCCCATTACATATATTTGGTGTAATATATATATATATATATATATATATACATATACAGATATATACATATATGTATACAGGTATACATATATATATATATATATATATACATATGGGGATAGACTAGGAAAGACAGAGATACAGATTTAGATGTAGACGTAGATATAGACGTTCAAAAGGTACTTTATCTTTGTTCTGGATGATGTCGTATATACAGATGTAGATGTAGACATAGATATAGACGTTCAAAAGGTACTTTATCTTTGTTCTGGATGATTTAGTATGTCAGAACTGCTTTTCAAAATCATGGGTCCATAGTCGAGGATGCCATGACGTATGGCATTTGGGCGCCGGACTTTTACTGCACGCCCACGCCGATATCCCCACAGCGATTTTGGAACCTTTGAACTCAATCTGATCTGGCCGGAGCTTCTGGAATTCTGGTGCTCAAGAGAGGACGACTAATCTCAAACTTGCATGCCGGAGTGCGCGATCCATTAGATTCGGTTTCGATCAAAACGATGAAAATTTGTGCCTTTCAAAGTTTAGGAGGAGCCCGAAATTCCAACCATCTGGTTCTTCTACCCCAGGCTCGATGTACTACAGGGGCCTGAATAATTACCTATACTAGTTCGGTGGTTCCTCATTTTGATTATTGTGCAGTTTCCCCCAAAACCCTATTCTATTTATTAAGGCCCCTGTATTAGACTCGTCGACACCGTGTTTGCCCCTTTTGGACGACGCCTGTAGTGCCACACTGCCTTCGTTCGCTCATTCCGCTGCTTCGAGTAGACAGCTCGTGGAATCCGACCCTCATTGCAGGATCTACGATGGCTGGAGGCACCGGGTACTGCCGGAAAACATGTGGAAGCATCCTCGGCAGTGGCTTAGCGGGGTAGCGGCAATCTCTTCGCATGCATGGGATGGTGAAGACACACGGGACTTTCCGAATATGAGGGGTACCTTATTTCGGGGTCCTGATAATAGGGATCTTGATATTTACGGTACTATATTAGGGTCCCCCATTTTCGGAAACTCCCATATAGATTGATTCATAGGTTGCTTCCCGTCAGGGGCAGGAGCTGGTTGGTCGTAAAGAGCAGACATGCATGCTGGTCAGGAGATTGCAACCCCAAAGCCATTACTGGAGGAACCCTGAAGCAGCCATCCAAAACTGTACGGCTTCAAGCCGATGCAGCCAGTTGCCACAACGAGGGAAACCTGAATTCTGAGACCCGAAACAGCATGTAGATGCATAACCCTCAACCTTAAACCATGGCCCTAAATCCCAAAACCCTAAACCCTCAACCCTAAACCATGGCCCTAAATCCCAAAACCCTAAACCCTAAACCCCATAACCCTAAACCATGGCCTATGCCATAAGCCCCAGAGCCCGGCCAAGACCGATCAGGTGGCGATGCCGCGCTGGGCTGCAGGCGCACGGATGACGTTCAGGAGAAGCACGAGAGGTTTATGGTCCAGGGCTTTAGGGCTTTAGGTTCTGGTCTGGAGGAAGCTAGAAATTTGAGGCTGGGGCCTGAGAGCTGAACATTTTTGAGATTTTCGAATTCAGGCTCCGGCGGTCTATTTCGCCCCTAAAGGACGTCAGGGTTTTAGGGCTTGCAGGGCTTAGGGGGTCTATTGTGGTGCTGACGACTTCGAAGTTTGGGACGGTGCTAGACACAAGTTCGCCTTCGCAGGATTTGGATGCTGAAACGACCAGGAGATGAGTACTATAGGGGCCTAAGTAATTACTACCTATACTATTCAGGGGGTGCCTTTTCAGAATTACAGCATGATAGGCCCCAAGCATAAGCAAGATTTTATCCAGAACAACCTAACGAAAGAAATCTGCAAAATGCCCCACTTGCCCTGAGAGTCCTTTACACCTCCAAGTAAAGGAAGCGGTTAGGGTGACCGTTGGAGTTGATACCCAGTCATGGCCAGGGCGCAAAGGCTCGGCATCTGGAGGTCAGGGTAGCAGCTTCATTCGATCGTAACCTCCGAGGACTGAGTCGATCCATGACCCTAGGATGTGTCTCGAGATTCAGGAATAGGAGGCACGGGGGTTGCAAGCATCGTGATTCCAGGCAAGCCCCTCAAACCAGAATCAATCTCAAGTTCGTGTAGCTGAGACAAATGGCGCTCAAGCCCAGAAGCAGCAGGTCGCACAAGAGTCTTCGTGTATTCGAAGCGAGAGCCCTGGCTCCGACATCTTTCTGCAAAGTGAATGTAGGCCTCAATAATTACCTATGCTATTTTGGTGGGTCCTTGTCAAAATTATAGCATAATGGCCCCAACAACTTTATTCCAATTATTCAGGCCCCTAAGTTACACTGAGATCATGAGTGTGGTCGTAGGGCCAGTAAAGCTGTCATGAGCATACGTTTTATGTACGCGCTACGAGGCATTACCATTGCGAGTAGGGCCACTTACTCTACCAGTCCTACAATTACTATTCTCACTATTACTGCTACGACTCGTACTTCTACCCGCACTACTACTCGTACTGCTACTACTACTACTACTACTACTACTACTACTGCTACTGCTACTGCTACTGCTACTGCTACTGCTACTACTACTACTACTACTACTACTACTACTACTACTACTACTACTACTACTACTACTACTACTACTACTACTACTACTACTACTCCTACGACGACGACTACAACTACCACCGCCACCTCTACTCCCCCTACTCATCCTATTCATCATACGCCTACTTCTCCTACTCCTACAGGTACTCCTTGCTACCACTGCTAACGTTTCTGTGCCTTATTACAGGCTGCACATCTGTCTGCCCTGCATCGATCTGCAAAACCCCCGCCCATCCGCCGGACCACTGAACCCTGAATGCCTTAGCCATCCGAATCTACTGGAGCCTTTGGCCTTCGAAGCTCCTGAGGTGTGGGGAAGCGCCAAAGCTGCGCCTGCCCGATAACATCCAGGCTTCAATGCAAGTTTGTAGGCTGGTTGGTTGGTTGTTTGGTTGTTTGGTTGGTTCAATGATACCTGTATGTCATCTATGGGCAGGGAGAAGAGGCAGGAGCCCTCAGGATCTCGAGTTCTGGGTAAGGGCATCGGAGTCCAGACTTAAGACCTACTAGTCTACTAGTCGGATGGTTCGGATCTGCATGCCGTTCACTTCTGATCTTTCGGTTTTGACCAAAATGATAGCTTGAAGCCTTGTAAGAACTGGTGAATCGACAAGCGAGTACATAAAGGCTAGGCTAAACCTGTTGAAGCGCCAATCAGTGACGGCTTTGAGAGGTGTGGCTCTTTGTCTTACGGTTTCCTTCCGTCAAAATATACTGTGCTCGCCACTGTCCATGTCCCTTGTTTTTTCCTCTATGTGACCGGCACAAGCTCAAACCCTGGAGCGGAGGTCATCCACACGTTTCAGCCTCGGCTGTCCTGGTAGCAAGGACTTCGCTTCGGAAGCCTGAGTTTTGTCGATACTGGGTGTTCTTATTGCAAAGCATGTTGTCTCTGTTGAAAAGCGATGCTTGCTGAAGGGTCCAAGATACCCGCAGGATCCAGGGCCTGGGCTACAGAGCGACGGTTGGATGCACCAGGGGCTGACGCCGGAATGACTCGATACCAAACTGACACACGCCTACAGGCCAAGGGATCGAACTTGCCTAAAAATGCATATATACATGCATGTACATATGTACGTACACACCTGCATACATACGTAGGTACGTACGTACGTAGGTACATACGTGCACTCGCACGTACATGTCGCGCATACATGCATGTAGCGTACGTGTACTATACATGCATATGTATGTGTATATATATATATGTTTATATATGTAGATCTTGGGGGGTTGAACATATGTGAATATATATATACATATATATATATAGATACTTATAATATGTAGAGGGAGAGGGAGAGGGAGAGGGAGAGAGAACATTCTCGAAGCTTGAATTGCAAGGCCTGTCAACGACGCAGGGCCGGGTAACGGCCTCGGAGATATTCCTCGTGCCATGGTCCAGCTCGACGGAAAGATTGACGTTTCCGACATTGCTTTCGGTACTTACTACATACCTGTAGGCTCATACCCTGCCCCTTTTTGGGTTATCTATTTTTCTACACAGCAGATCCTAACCATAGGACTAGGTATCCTAATAAAAAGGCGTAGGGTATGAGCCTGCAGGTAAGAAGTCAAGTCGAGTATACAGTGCAAGACGTGAGAAGGTTTTGTTTCATACAAGAACAGGCCCTACTCTAGGAAGGACCCTCGGGCCATACATCATATCACAGTTACAGGAAAAGAAGCCGAGCATGCAGAGTAGTCGTAGCGTAGCAAGATAACGGCCTACTGTATATGGAATTCAACTGCAACATCTTCTGTGATTCGTAAATTTCCTTGCCACATACATGAACCAAGTAGCAGGAACTCGGAATAGGATCTGCGCGCTCTTGATGTCATGACCTGTGATCACTTCGGCTTCTGCAGTAGCAGATTCCCGAAGTTTGGGCATTCTCTCGCGCCATGGCTGAGGTGGTCGGAAAGACGAGTGCAGCGCGTACTTAACACACCTGGCCAAAGCGGTGGAGACACTTGGCTCTCCATCCTGGAGAGTTCTCGGGGTTGCAGAGGAGGGGTTCTCAACCCTGAGGCATTCCCATGGCTGTTAACGTTTGCGTATTGGTGTTGGGTTCTCAGAGTTCCTACAGCATGACTGTGGCATTGATGCTCGTCATGTCCATTAACGTGAGTATCATGTTGAAAGTCCTTGGCATCATTGGCATCGTCCTCGTTGCATATTCATCGTCATGATCGCCATAATCCTCCTCCTCCGCACCAGCTTCATCATCAGCTTCTTGCTCATCCTCATCGTCATCATCAACATCACAATCATGGTCATTTCCAACATTTTCAGCATCGAGCTCGTCATCGTGTTCGTTACTTTTACGATCATCGTTGTTATCGTCTTTATGTATGGTGGGCAGCGTTCGTCACCACAAGTATGGACTTCAAGAGGGACAACAATGTCCTAAGTTAAGACTTAACAGACACCCCTCTGCAACATGCCGACCGGGCCTTAAGAACGCATAGCATAACATGGTATTGTAATAACATTATATTATATAGTGCAGGTGTACAAACTGTTATTGCAGTAGAATACACTCAGAGCCGAAGATGCCATCATGAGGACACAAACTGCAGCCGAGTACACGCTCTTCCTTCAGGCCGCTTCTGAATGAATCTCCGCGACAAAGATCGTTCATAAACTGCTGAGGAGTAGTGAGTGGCAAGATTTGGGGTCATTTGAATGTAAGATCTTTGGTTCCACGGTATTTTGCGCCAGCTGGTTGTGTGGAAGGCTGATGCGCTGAATCATGTGCGGCCGCAGTTTCTGCACGTGGTCATGCAGGCATTGCAGGCAAGATGCTGTGTGGGTGTGGATCGCCCGGAGAACCTAAGGATCTTCTCATTTGAGGCAGCTACTTACCAAGAGCACAGCATCGTGAGCGCAGTTAACACGTAGCACGTTTAAACCCAAATCGAATCAGGCCCCATGCGCAGCCACGTTTTTGAATCACGAGACCCGATCCAATGGTACCTTGCAGCATGTGAGTTCTATGAGAGGAGGAAGCTCCAAGACTTTAGCTACGAGCAATGTAGCATGGGTTCTTGTTCAGGAATGTAGTTTAAGTTACCATAATAAGGAAACCTCTTTTTTACAATAGATCCCTATTGTGGTAACGTAACTTCAACCACTTAACAAGCACCCAGTAACTTATGGTGTACATCACTGTGAGGCAGTTGGAAAGCCAAGCCATCTCCTTTGTTCCGTTTAGCTATTCATGAGATCCTGAGACCACTCATGCAAGCTCCGAAGCTCCAAACCCAAAGGGTCCAAGTATCATTATGGTATATACGTAGACCCCCAAAATACCCTATAAGTATATACCATAATGATACTTGGACCCTTTGGGAAACGCATGGCTGATGCCAGCTCTGTGGCTGCTCACAGACGTAGCCCCTTAGCAGCAGCCGCAGTCACCTTTTTGGCTGTTAGTGGGTGCTGCCACACGCTTATCGTTGTGTTGGTTGGTGCAGACATTTCGAAAATTGACCTGCAAAGGCCGGTGGTTCGGAAAACTCCCTGAGCCAAACAACCCACACTCTGAAATTGATGTGCTCTCTGATCCGAGCCAGATGCGCACGTTGGACTTGCCCTTCTTGCATCTCGGACAGTCGCGCATGGTGCGCGGGCCCAGGGTGGTGTCGTGACACTGGCCGCGTCTGCTTGTTGTCGGTACTGGAAGATGTACTATAGGGGCCTGAAGAATTACCTATGCTATTTTGGGGGGCCGCCCAGTAGAATTATACTATTATGGGCCCCAAAACTCTATTCTACTTATTCAGGCCCCCGATATTTCCCGGTTCGTCCTGTCGGAATGATCCCTGAATGATTTTGAAACATCGCTGAACTGTCGCCACAGAATCATGCTTGATGTGTCGTGCAGTTCTTACAACCGCCATGATCAGGGGTTCAGGGCTCGGGGCAGCTCAGGAGTAACCACAGCGCTCTGTATATTGGTACTTGTCGCTTCTTGTCATTGTCCCGCATAAGTAGAGCCATGCCGTACTAGACGCCGGAACCCTATCAAGATTAAGCAGGCCCCTAAAGTATGTTTCAGGTGTCGTCGACGTCTCCCTGCAAGCGGGCCATCTTCGAGCAGGCCTTTAGCATCATGGCACGGAAGCTCCTCCGGATAGTATTGTGATTCTTAAGTGACTATTTGTTGCTATGATTGCTGTTGTTACTTCTGCTTACTACTATTCCTCCTCCTGCTGCTACTATTGCTGCTACTACCACAACTCCTCCTCCTACGTACTACTACGACGACGACGACGACTACTACTACTCCTGCTGCTGCTGCTGCTGCTGCTGCTCGTGCTGCTAGTACTGCTTCTGTACAGCTACTCCTGCTGCTGCTGCCTTTGCTGCGCTTGCTTCGATGTCCACGGCTTGCTTTGAGTACCCACAGAGTCTGGGACCCGCAGTAGGTTGTCGGCCGGAAGCAGAACACGATCGCATCGGGCTACTGCTGCCGTGTGCCCAGTGGTGGTCTTGTGTCAGCTGGAAAGCAGTGTACAGTTTAGGGCTTCGGGCGGAAACTGTGGCGTTGCTTCAACATGGACTGTCAGATGCTGTTTCGTTCTGATTACTTGGGCGTGATGCTGTAGGCTACAAGAATTCCGATAACGGAAATCACAGAGGAAGGAAGAGCTGCTGATTACCTGAGGCTCCTCGGACCCTTCGGCCAAGAGTAGGTAACAGAGTCTCACGAGAAGCATTGGTGCGAAAGCCTTTGCCTTTTGTCGTTGATGAACATGATGTTAGGTGCTCAGTTCATGGCGAGGAAGGAGAACCCTGACACATGAGTTGTTGCCTCGTCGTGGCTTGTTTTGTTTTAGCTTCATGCCGAATCGCGTGCTCTACCTGGAGACTCAGTGCAGATCCATATCAGTCAAAGGGTGGCATTCAAGAATGCCATTCTCTTGAAAGCTTTCACTCGCACAAATGCGATTGAGCAAGACGTGCTTGATTTTGTAATTGCGGCTCCTCGTGCAAGCAACCATCCCAGCATTTTGCGGATGACTTGCGTTTGAAACTGAGCGGCGGAAAGTAGAAACCGATGGCACTGAAATCCCGAGAGTGATTCGCATATCATAGTACGACAGTTTTCTAGAGTATATTTTGGTATACCATAGTATACTAGATCATACTCTAGCTCTACATATACATATATATATATATACACATACTCGGTGTATATATATATATATATATATATACATACATATATGTACGTACATGTTATCAAGACTGGGGGTGTGCTTGGCAGGACACGCTGCTCGCGCAAGGGCAGCTATGGTCCCGAGCTCTCCAGGTCTGCCCTGAGAACCCTATTCTTTGTCATAGTTGGATAACATTTTACATTTTTATGAGTACTTAAATGAGGAATAGAAATTTAACATTTTAATCCTATACCAACCATGAACTAGTATTGGCTTTAGTTGTTTTTGGCTTTAGGGTTCAGGGTTCAGGGTGTGCATCAACACGTTTCCTGTGTGCCGCCGATCATACCGATGACAGAGTCAGGAGCATACCATCACATCCGGAATTCATAGTCGAACGCCTGCAAATAGGATGCTGTGGGTTCATAGCATGTACGCATCTAAGCTGTGCTATGGTGTCGCCTGCATCGGCTGCAATGTTTTCAGTTGCGTAGTGCTTGTCAAGCCGTGTTGTGGAAGGTGCTGTTGAGGACGGAACGGGGTCGTCAGAGAGCATTGAGTAATACACTTATGTAGGGTGTGCATATACGGCATATACATGAATGCATGAATACATACATGCACATACTTACATGCATTTATGTAAACAAACAAATACATGTGGACATATACATATACATACACAAATATAGGTATATGTATACACATGTCTATACACATACATACACATGTGTGCATATACATTGTAAGCGCCTACATATATGAGTATATATGCATATCACATGTCTTGTCTATCTATGCATAAGTAAGTGAGTGAGTGAATAAGTGCGGACGTGAGTAAGTGAGCACGTCAGTAGCGAGTAAGTGTCCGAGTCAGTATGGCTCGAATCATCGGTGTCAAGCTTTGCTCTGCGATGCCCGTGTGCTTTGCGGTTACGAGGTTATTATTGCCACTCGTCTTGAGGGCATAGAGTGTAGGTCAAATCCTGTGCGCAGAATGTAGCACACTTGAGCGAACCTTGTAGCGGCCGGATTTGCAATCTTTGAGATGCTGTTGACCATTCTCGACCCCGTTGCTTGGAATCCGTCCGCGCGGTTTGCAGGCCATGGATGACCCGCTGCCCTCCAGCTGCGAGCATGTGAGGTGCGTTTGATGTTCTGAAGCCGTACGCTCCAAGATTGTATTTCGCTTGCATGCTGCTGCACTGTCGGTCTCGTCGCACATTCGTGCTGAAACGATCCAGCATTGAGTGGTCTGAGTGTTTTGAGCGGTCAGACTTGATGAACGTGTCCTGTTGGTTTGGCTGGCTCTGTAGCCCGACGCAGGCGTGGCGCAGGGATGCATTGTTTGGTCTACGAGTCCATCTGGCATGTCATGCAGCGGCCTTGGCCCGATTCGCTGGTTTGCTAGAACGAATAGAAATATTCAGAACTCATAATAAGCATAAGAGTAGTAACAGCACTAACACAATAATCATAATCACGGTGATAGTACTAGTCATCATAAACTAACAGTGCTCCGACCAGACCAGCATATGACCTCCGAGTTTGTTCGATCCCTGGGGTTTGTGCGTTCATACGCAGCAGAGTAAAGACTCAAGCCCTAAACCCTAAACCCTAAACCCTAAACCCCTAAACCCCTAAACCCTAAACCCTATACGCAGCAGAGTAAAGACTCAAGCAACGAAGTCGACGTCGAAATCGCCTGGCAGCAGAGCAGAGCCTTGGTCTGCACAAACACTTGAAGGGTTTAGGGTTTGGGGTTTAGGTTTTAGGGTTTAGGTTTTAGGGTTTAGGGTTTAGGGTTTAGGGTTTAGGTTTTAGGGTTTAGGTTTCAGGTTTTAGGGTTTAGGTTTTAGGGTTTAGGGTTTACCGTTTAGGGTTTACTGGTTTAGGTTTTAGGGTTTAGGGGTACTGGTTTTGTTGCTGGCACGCATGCTTGTGAATCTGAGATAGAGGCAGCAATCCTATCCCAAAACTGAGGCAACTCACCTGCCATTTGGAGGGATGTGGCAGCTCAAGTCTTTCGCACAGTGCGCGCTATTTCCCGCCTTGGTGTCGATGCTACTGGCGCTTCAGGGCTGTGACCATCTTGCCCAAGTTCAGACAGTTGTATCCAATGCCGTGTCCGATGTCAAGCATGATGTGGAGTCTTTATTGCCCGGAAGCAATCAGACAAAGAAAGAAGTCCGGATGCAGAATGGCTTTCTACAGCCCAGCCATTCGCAGCCATCTGCCAAGATGAAAGACAGTGTCCCAGACCAAGAGGACACGATTCCCCTCGCCGCGACTTCTTGGTCCGGAGGTCCGCGGCTGTTGATGGCAGTGTCGCCAGTGGATGCCAACGGTGGTTTGCTGCCGGCACAGAGGCTGGTTGTGGATACAGGATCTTCCACACTCGCATTTTGTCAGAGTAGCCTCCTGGAGGAAGCATCATATCACGAAACTAATTACATTTCTTGCAATTTGTACAACCCCGGCGGATCGTTTACGGGATACTGGGGCCCTTTCGTTGCCGGTCAGCTCCACGCTGGCGGCGTGACCTTCCAGAATTCCTTCTACAGCATCATGGCACAGGAGGCCGGCATGCCTTGCCGAAATGGAATTGATGGAATCTTCGGCATCGCCTTTCGGCAGTTGGATGCTGCTGGACTGCATGCTCTGGTCACAATGCGGGGGAAGGTTACGGGTTTGTGTTTTGAATGTGGAAAGGCTTCGGGGGCCCATCTGCAAGCGTAACGAGAAGCTTAGCCTCTGAGACTCCTATATGGCCTTTATTTTTTCAGGTTGCGCGGTTGCAAGAGCCCCGACTGAAGTGGCTCCTCTTTTATTCTGCATGGCAGAGGTTGTTTAGAAAAACTAGCGAGACTTCAATCAATGATTCAATGAAATTCAATGTGTTTGCATCAGGGGGACTTTGCTGCGAAGCAGGTCCCAACATGGAAAGGCTTCGGTCTTTCGGGTGGCACGAAGGGCACATGGGAACTCGTCGGGATCCACACATCATCAGTGATGCAGTTTTTTAATGCTACGGAAATGTGCGGAGATTGGAAGTTCTAAACGCATCCAGCTTGTTCTGGTTATAAGCAATGAAGATGTTGGTCTCTCGCTCTCTCGCTCGCTCTCGCCTCGCTCTCTCTCGCGCTCTCTCGCTCTCTCTCTCTCTCTCTCTCTCTCCCTCTCTCTCTCTCTCTGCCTCTCCTGCTCCAGAAATTCCGAAAGTAGCAATTGCTGCCTGGTATGTGAGACTAAGACTCCGATTCCCTCCGCTTGTGTGGAGATCCTTGTTAGTGTTGCCGTTGTCACTTGGGTTCTACTTCAGGGCCGGTGATTCGTGGGGGCGGTGACTGGCCTCAGAGCTGTGAGCGCCTGTAGCTTGTGGACCCCTTTCCTGACCTTCTGGATGTGCTTGCAGCAGGCTTTGGTGGGCTTTGTATCGGTAGATGTAGATTTGCGAGGTTCGCGGATGGTATGCCCCAACCCTTAACCTTGCAAGATCACACAGCAACTGATGCGGTTTACAGGGTCTTGGTCCTGAGGTTGCTTATCCGGCAGACGAGAGACCCGACTTCGCGAGCAACGAGGGCGCACAGTGCCCGCAGGCGGTGCAAGCGTTGCCGCCGCCTATGATCCAGAAGCTTCGAAACAACGGTCGGGGCCTTAGGGATATAAGGATGACACTGAAGTGATGAAGGATCGAAGTGTATACAGGGGCAGATCCCCCCTCCAACCAGGCAGTTGACGGAATGCCTTGAGCCCAGCTTCGGTCAGGTGGCGTGGAGAAGCTAGGCATCTACTGGTCTGGTCAGATGGGTGAGGACCAGGGCATGCTGTACCTCGACGATGCGGCGGTGACGAATGAGCTCCTTGCTCGTAACGTCGTAACGGTCTTTAGACGGTTTGGTGTTTAGGGCTGAGGGTTTTAGGGTTTCGGGTTTACTCATGAAGCCGGTGTTGCTTGAGGATTGAAGGGCCCTGGAAGCCTGATCTGCGAAGGCACTACGACAAGTCCTCAATGCTGGGTCCGGCTGTTCTGGGGGAGGTCGGCTGGTATGATATCGCGGTCCAGAAGATCACTGTGGGCGACCAGGAGTTTACGGGCTTCGGGTGTGCTCCGAGCTCTGGGCAGCAGTGCATCATGGTGACCCGACTGCATCTAGCTACATAGCAACAGAGCTGACAGGGATCTATAATTGGTTCTTTTCAGGGAATCCATGAGGAAGCTATAGGGATTCGATTTTGAGAGGTTTTCCAGAGTCACCTGCTTCAGGACACCGGAACCCCCTCCTTGGTACTGCCACCGCAAGTCTTCGACTCTGCTGCCCGACTCATCGACTTCGGAGAGTCTGCGACCTTGACATTCTGGTTGCCGGGCATCTCGGGGGAAGCTGTGGCTGTGAGCTTCGACCTGCAAGCACTCAGCAACATGGGGGCCTTGTCGAAAGGTGGCCAGGGCACGAACCTCATCCTTGGGCTTCCCTTGTGGGCCTTCTACTACACCGTCTTCGACATCAGCGGCCAGTCCGTCTCCTTCATCCGGCAGACGCAGGTGCCAGCACCTCAGGAGACGCCCTCGGAGTCTCAGCCGATACAGCCGACCGAGCCGCGGGAGCCGCCGCTGGAGCCGACAGAGCCCTCACAGGTGGAGCCCAGGTTACCTATACTATTCTCGGGGTTCCTTCATATACTCATAGTTTAGTATATTATATAGGTTCGTTCTTATAATTATAGTCTCATAAAGGTCCTTATCATAATTGTAGTATAATATAGGTTCCTTATTATAAGTGTTGTATAATATGTAGGTTCCTTATCATAATCTTAGTATAATACAAATATAAGTCCTTATTATAGTTATAGAAGATAGCTTCCTTGTTACAGTTACAGTATAATATATAGGTTCCTTTTTTCACTTGTAGTATAATATAGCTTCCTTATTATAAATGAAGAAATATGCAAAGTATAATCCAGTCCTTGCAGGTGGAGCCCGGACCTTTCCAGCCCTTCCAGCCGGGGCCTTGGACGCCCATCCCACGTCACGAGCCCGGGAGTTTGCCCGTGCCGGAGTCTCCTCTGGAACCCTTTGATGGTCCCTTTGATGGTCCCTTTCAGATCATCTTTGAAGAGACCGCGAACTCTTCAGCACCTGGCGAGGGAAGAAGGATGGAAGAGCTTCCAGTGCATGTATGAGTATGAGAGCACACCACATCATTTAATGCCTTTGCGATTCGTTGCTATGTGCATGGTCGCCCCTGTACAGCTCGTGGGGCATTCTCTTTTGCATGCGTGACTTTGCCCAGACTGCGTCGGCAAGCTGTACAGATACAAAGACGCTCATGATTGTTCCATCCCAGGAGTATAGCACAGCGTGCCTCATAAGACTTCTGGCTTTTGGTAGCACCGCGCCTGCGAAGCAGCTTCCAGATTAGTCACTGCGATGGCTTGTGCCGTCCATGTAAAGCTGCGACAGTTTCCTGAGTTTCGACACTCACGCACCTGCGACCCAACAGTGGTAAGCATTCGAGGTGACTCTTCATGTGTGGACAGCATCATGCAAAACCGCTCTCGAATGCTCCAGACCGGTCTTCGACAGCGCTTTGCTGGGCACTGAAGCCCTTAATTCCTCTTAGCCCGGAAGTCCCATGGTTTAAGAGGTCTTACTGGAGGAAAAAATGATCTTATGCTCCACCATGTCAACTATGTCAACTAGGTGAGGTGCGACAGGTTGTCGGTAGGGGCAATATCTTGCGAGAGTTTTTGGCAATACGTCGCCGTACTAAAGCACGGTGCTCACATAATTACATAATGAATGTGCTTATGCTTAGGCCTAGTGCTACATGTTAGGTACGAAGAACCGACAGCACTAATCATGGCAGTACGATCAGAAATATGCGTGCCTGATGGTAGCAGTGGTACTTCTGAGAGCAACAAGCAATTACATTGCAGCATTCTCCGCACCATAGCCATCGTCATGCGAAGCTAAATCAAGCATGATTATGTCAATCAGCAACGACAGCCATAAGTCAAAGTCAGTCAACAACATCGTCGGCAAGTTCGGTTTCCGTCCAGTTCTATCACTACAGCGTGCCTGTACCAAGTCATCAACTCAGCCATGGGCCATAACGAATCGCAAAGCATTGTTATAGCTTTAACAAGTAGTAGTAGTAGTAGTAGTAGTAGTAGTAGTAGTAGTAGTAGTAGTAGTAGTAGTAGTAGTAGTAGTAGTAGTAGTAGTAGTAGTAGTATGTAGCATGCAATAGTGAGGATGCTGCGGCGCGACTCTGGCTTGGTTCTCCATGAAATCAACAGCTATCTTTGGTTGCTGAACCCGATGCCCGAACATGCAAATGCTAACGATCGCCAGAATTTCTCCACTCGCCGCAGGCATACATTCCAACAGGTTATAGACTTGGTGTAGACGTCTGCATCCGCACAATCGCATCCGTACCGCTGCAATCTGCGATCTTGTGCCTCTACAGCGGCAGCCAAGCGATGAATGTTCTTTTATGGTCTGCAGTTTTTTTACAAGGCCATCAATCAATAGGTTAAATGCACGCTGTCGCAGCTAACTGTTCAATCGCTTGGCTCAACCATCTATCTCGAACCTCAGGAAACCTGAAAACCCCACAACCCTCGAACCCCTCCACCCGGAAACCCGAAGAGTTTCCACCGTTAAACCCTGAACCTCCTAAGCTGTGAAAATCTTGAGCTCTAGACCCATATAAGCCCAGAGCCCAAAACCAGCCGCAACCGTCATCAAAAGACGGAGTCCTAAACCGCTAAGCCCTTACACGCCCTAGCCTAGGTATCTGTGAAACTCTTGTTGCTGCTGAACTCACTACCGTTGCTGTCTGTTGAGTCAGAGTTGATTCGCCGCTGGAGCCTTACCTGAACCCCAAAAACACGTAGAATAATGGCCTTTTAGTAGGTTTTGGGGCATTATGTTGCCTACTTTTGAGGGTCTAGGTACAAGCTTTTACCGGCGACCGTGCCCTGAACAGGTAGACCCCTACAAGCTCAAGCCTAAACCCTCTAAAGCCGTTAAGCACCAGAGCTTTACAGCGCCAAACCCTTCAAAGCCAGAACTCTGAGATTGCCCAGAGCCTCCTAAGCCCCTCAAGTCAGGAATATACCTTAAATTATATTAGGGATCCTGTTATGATTTAGATTTAGGATATATGTCTTAACTAAGGGAATTTGGAGTCTCTGGGTGCAAGGTTTGGCTTCCCTGAAGTCCTCTCTCCCCGGGCGTCGGACACAACTTTGCCTTCCTTCCTGAGGCGCGGCGTGGGGTTTATAGGCCGTGGGGTTTCAAGTTTAGGGTTTAGGTTTGAGGGTTCAGGAGGTGGGGTTTAACGGTATAAAGTTTAGAAGGGTTGATGGTTAGGGGTTTCGGGTTTGGGATTGAGTGTGTTTTCGGGGTTAGTGTTTCGGCTCTGGGTCTACAGGGGTTTGGGTTTCGGTGATGGGCTTCAGGATTTGGTTTTATGTTGGGTTAAGGTTTCGGGTTTCAGGGTCGGGGGGAGCCCGACATGTATTTCGGGTATTTCCGAAAATCCGGGGTCCCTACTTCAGAATAAAGATGCTCTCGCTAAGTGCTTCCGACAGGGACCGGCTGCATGCGGGAATTCCAAGTACGGGATTGTTTTTGTTTTGCTCGCACTGCTTCGGCATCCTTTTAGTAGAGTATACCTTGCCCGGACAGTGCGTCTCCAAGGCACAGCACAGCCGAAACCTCAATTTCGCATGGTCTTTGGATCTAAAATCCCAGAAGGCGGTTGTTCAGAATGACAAGGCTGCAAGGCTGTAAAGCCGCATACTGAAAACCGTAAACTGCGCACAGCAAGAAGCTCGGAGAAGCCAAAGGCCATCCCACAACAGGGATGATAAGGACGCTGTCCTGCTAAGCTTTCTGGGATTCGTAATGTACACACCTTCTGAGTTCGTGAAGAGTTCTTCGGGGGCTGTTAGAGTACAGGCATAGGCATAAGCTGCGACCGTCGATGCAAGGTTTGAGGGCGACAAGGCCTGCAAAGTCTAAGGGTGGACTTACTATTGTTGTAGACTCGAGCGGTCAGGTTGATTCCGCCGGTGTTTGGCATGCTGTAGGGGCCTTAATGAGAATAAGGGGTTGGGGGCCTCTTATACCATAATCATAAGAAGGAACCCCCCAAAATAGTATAGGGTGTTGCAGGAGGGTCACAGGCAGCACGCATCTGCAGGTTCAGGATACGGTTCCTGGTCGAGTAAAGTACTGACCTCAATTCGCTGTACTCGTCGCACTCCTTACTGTAACAGTAATACCAGCTCAATGATTGTTCTTAAAATGAAAAGTGGCAAAACGAATCAGGTTTCCGAATCATCATCGGTCAATAATACCGGTATGGCATTACGACCCCACACCCTTAATCCCACACCTAGCCTTGCCGAGCTTTTGCCCAGGATCCCAGAAGCGGATGGCAGCGACCTCCCCGATGGAGACAGGTCCACGCTCAGAACCCAGTGTTAGGGCAGGGCTCTAGCTGCGGATCCGCACACTTGATAAGAAGGTGGAGTACAGTCTGACACTGCCGCGGTTGAGTAGTGCATTTGTGGCATTTTACGGCTACTTGGCTGACCCACTGTTTCCTGCAGTTTCATACCGCACCTATTTTGGGGCTGAAGGCTCTGTGTTTATGCCCTGCTGAGTAGTTACGCTGCGGTCTGCATCAGCGATCGTACCCTTATGTTCGGGTCAATTTTATCCCAGTGCTGACTCTGAACAGCAGCTGTGTTCCGGTGCTTCATGAAGGATTTTAACCCAGCGCGGCATGTTCGTCCAGCAGACCCGAAGCAAGGCTTTGACTGTGAGATCTCACCGCCCCAAGCACCCAAGGTTCTACTTGGATCGTGTGGGAGGCCACCAGAGCGGAAGATGTCTAAAGCGCACGGGGTGTTGTCTGACGCAGAAGAGACTTCAGGTCATCGAGGGCGGTGTGCTTCTTGACCTAAGCAAACGTTTGCCGTTGCTCTACGCCAGCGAGGGTCATGCGTCTCACAGATCCAGACTTGGTTCCACAGTGGAAGTCTCCCGTCTCGGGCACATTGCAGCTCTTTAGTGTCATGGAACTTTAGCATGGTACTTGAATGTCTTGGGAATCAGGCGCGATGCTTCACATATACAGGGGCCACAGTGTGTCCCCCCTCTAGATAAACCCGAGGTGCACATGCGTAGGTCGGTATCACACTCGATGTAGGTTCAAACACTCGAGTTGACCAGGCAGTTTCCGTTCACGCGTATTGCACAGTCACTCTTAGCTACGATTGCCCAGGTTTGTAGTTATATAACATGAAGCATAAGATATTGCTTCTGCCATGAGCCCACGACTCTGCGTTCCAGGCGAGGAGGGTGCTGCTTGGCTCGAGGAGCTACTTGCCAAGGAGAGTGGCTGACGATGACTGTCCCTGTGCTCTTCATTAAGGCACTCACCGAAGTCATGAGCTTCGCATTTTCGTATTCTTGTCACAATACATCTTAAACCCTAACAAATCCTAAGAGATCCCGAGCCATGCGAGAGGAAATACATGCTAAATCCTAAATCTGGCTCAATTCTAAACCCTATATAATATACGGCTGAGCATGACTGCTGACATGTGCCGGGCAAGATCCTTGACGTCTGAAGTCTGAACACCTCCAAGCCCAGGGCTTCTCCCTTAAGCCCAGTAATATGGGTGGTTGTCAAAATTCTGGTCCCTTTTTGGGTACCCTAAATACTAGGTGCCGTATTATACTAAGGACCCAACAAGGGATCCTAATATTGACAACCACCCATATAGAAGCCGGAATAAATTTCCATTACCATCTCTTTCAGGGTTCCTATTTTGATTATAGTATAGCCCACCCGTAAAACCGATTGTAATTCTTCAGGCCCCCATACTTTATCCTTGCATCCCAAGCCGCAAGCCCGAAACCACCCTCCGGAATCAAGTTAAGGTAACCTTCTAGAAACCTTCTAGCCCACTCAGTAACCATTCAAGCATTGCAATGTATACCCACCCAAAACCCGAAACCCCAAACCAGCGGTTATAGCAACCCTTCTAGGAAACCCTAAACCCCAAAACCCTAACCCCTAAACCCCTAACCCCTAAGCACTTGTAACTAGTCAACCCAGCCTAGAGGAGTCGGACATCTCGGGTGCGAGGACGTGTCT